TACTTTGGATCGCATGCTAGACGCTTTATTGCAAGAGGAAACACAGAGTATACAATTAAAAACCCCGGACCCATCGATATACATGTAAAAAAAACTTTTGTTTTAGAGTTTATAATTTAGTATTTGTTTTGAAATTGTTTAAAAAGTTCTTAAAATCAAGCTTAATTTATTTTGTAGGAGTGTTATTGTTAGTAGCGCTAACGTGTTATAATTAGTAGCGCTAACGTGTTAACGTGTTTTTGTTAATAGCGCTAATGTGTTAAAGTGTTATTGTTAGTAGTGCTAACGTGTTATTTTTAGTAGTGCTAACGTGTTATTATTAGTAGTGCTAACGTGTTATTATTAGTAGTGCTAACGTGTTGTTTTTAGTAGTGCTAACCTGTTATTGTTCGTAGTGCTAACGTGTTATTTTTAGTAGTGCTAACCTGTTATTGTTAGTAGTGCTAACGTGTTATTTTTAGTAGTGCTAACGTGTTATTTCTAGTAGTGCTAACGTGTTAACGTGTTATTTTTAGTAGTGCTAACGTGTTAACGTGTTATTTTTAGCAGTGCTAACGAGTTATTATTAGTAGTGCTAACGTGTTATTTTTAGTAGTGCTAACGAGTTATTATTAGTAGTGCTAACGAGTTATTGTTAGTAGTGCTAACGTGTTATTGTTAGTAGTGCTAACATGTTATTGTTAGTAGTGCTAACATGATAAAGTATTATTGTTAGTAGTGCTAACGTGTAATTAATGCTTGTTAAGTTTTTAAAAATTATTTAGATTCGCAGAGGAAGATTCAGAAAAGAATATATTGTTTGAAAATATTGAAGTAATATTTTTCATCTATAAACGAAGTAATTTTTTTTTATCTGTAACGAAAAATAGAAATGCTTTAAAATAGTTTGAGATTATTAAATATATGATGGTCTAGGGCGAGCGGGTTACGACTCTTATTCTTTTTACTCTGTCCTTTTTAATAAATTTGCTTTGAAGTTCTTTAAATCAACTAATGATTTTTTTTATATATTTCCGTATTCTGTTTGACGCTTCTTAATTTTTGGTAGGATGACAGCGCTGTTATTAAAGGTGGAACGCTTCCTAAACTAATAGAAAGACTTACATACCATAAACATGCCGGTAATATTTTTAATAGATTTGTCTATTAAACATTTTATTTAGGAGTTTTTGCTATTTTAAAAAAACGGTTATAATCTGGTTCAAATATCTTAATTTAGTTTTATTATGGTATTTATTAACAGATCCAACATTTGTGAGAGTTTTCCTTACCACTTACAGATCGTTTAGCAATCCCGTAGAGCTTCTTGATCTACTTATAAAACGGTATGATATTCCTGAACCAATCACTGATTTGAGCAACAAGCAGGTTTTTAATAAAGAAGATCTTAAAAAGTTTAGAAAAGAATATGTTCAACCGATACAATTAAGGTGATATATATATATATATATATATCATATACATATATAACATATTTTAAAATCTTGTAAAATAAAATTTGCGAAAATTTGACGCTTTGCATATTCTCATCTCATGCTTCTTCTTATATTCTCTTTTTATATCTTTCTTCTCGTATTTATTTCCTATGCGTCATTTTTTTGAAAAATATGATAAAATTACGTTTTAGAGTGTTGAACGTGTTGCGTCATTGGGTGGACCAGCATTTTTACGATTTTCAGAGAGAAGAAACGCTGTTAATTACTTTAGAAAAGTTTTTATCGCGTGTTGTACGTAGCAAAACCGCGAGAAAATGGGTAGAATCAATTGAAAAGATTGTAAATAGAAGGGTAATCGATATTTTTTATACTTTTGTTCATTAGTTATAACTAATATTTGTCTATTACTATCAATGTGATTTTTTTTCAGTTGGAAATGGTAAAAGTTGATCCTGAAACGTATTCTTTTAACACGCCGCCGCCTCCGATTGAATGGCATTTGACACAAGATTTTGATAAATTTACTATATTAACTGTAAGTAAACATTTTTTGTTTTCGTTAACGTTGTTTGCTTTTAATTGAAATTTTTAAAATATTTTTAGTTGCATCCCTTAGAGATTGGCAGGCAATTAACCATAATGCAATCGCAAATATTTAGGTAAAAATGTTGTTAAAATATGTATTTTTATTTAAAAAAAGCAACATGTTTTTGTTAGGTGAGCTATTTTTTTATAGGATTATAAAAACTTTTTTTTTTCTAAATTTTAAAAACATGTTTCTAACATTTTAACTTTAATAATCTTTAGAGCGATTCGTCCGTCAGAATTGGTGGGAACGGTGTGGACAAAAAAAGAAAAAGAAAAGCTTTCTCCAAACACACTCAAGTTAATTCGACTGTCTACATTACTTACTTACTGGTATGAGTTAAACATTGTTGAAGCCCATAACTTTGAAGAAAGAGTGGCAGTCTATACGAGAATTATTGATATATTAATGGTGAGTAAATGTAATTTAATTTACTGATATGAAATTTTCTGCGTAAAAAAGGCAGACATTAGTTATTTGTAAATTTTTCTCCTATTTTGACCGAAAGATCCATACATACATACGCATCATACATACACACATACATACATACATACATACATACATACATACATACATACATACATACATACATACATACATACATACATACATACATCTATGCGTACATATATACATGCATTCATATTCTCAAATTGTATTAGATTGAATTTGCATGTATTTTTTCAAATCGTAGGTTTTCCTTTCTTTAAACAATTTCAATGGAATGATGGAAATACTAGGTGCATTAAATTCTGCTCCGGTATTTCGCCTTCAGCATTTGAAAGCTGTGGTAAGAGATAAAAATTTAATTTTCTGTATATTTTTATAGATTTAAAGTTAATTGCAAATTGGTAGCGATAGTTAATTATTCATATTGCTACTAATATATGTTTTATAAAAAAACGTCCGTTTTAATATTTGCACTATTTTGTAAGAAATAATTTTCCGCCGACGCGTAAAGTAAAAGAAAATAGCCTAACCACTCGGTTATTAGTTTAAACAGTCAAGATATTTCTATAAAATATATAGTCTGCAAGATAAGCGATAAGATTGTTTTAAGAGAAAACACCAAAGATTTTAATGTGGTTCAACCAATCTTTAAAAATATAAAATGCTTATCAAGATTTTATGTTATATAATTTTATATAATTGCGGTGTATTGTGAAATTTTAGCTTTAATTTTTAGACCTGTGAAATCTCAAGTTTTAAAATACTATTTTTAAGTTAAGGACTTTGCTCAGTGCTAGAATTATTTTAACTCTTACAAAGACATTTAGACAATAGAAATAAAATGAAATAAAAGAAAAAAAGCTATTACTACCAGCATACAATTTTTTTTTTGTTTATATTTACTTATTAAAAGGAGAAACTTATAACTTTGAGTGAAAAAAAACACATATGTTTTAGAAAATTTATTGACTTTAACAATTTTTAGCTCTTTTGATCTATAATCATGTTGAAGTTAAAGAGATTTTTATTTAAAATATTTGAAGCGACTGAACAAAAGAAGAAGTTTAAAAAGTGACTTAATAAAAGTCTTTCTTTAAAACTTAAATATTTTTTTAAGAAAATAAGCAAAAGTAGTTGTATTAAACAAAAATAAGCTTTCATTAATTTTTTTATTTATATATTTATATTCATTATATTATATTATTTATATATTTATCATTATATTATATTATTTATATATTTATATTCATTTAAAGCCTAAGTTATAAATGAGATTTTTATAAAAATTTTCGATTTACGTTTTACTAATTCGCCGTTTTGAGATCCGCCTACGTTAACCATGTGCATCTCAAATATGTACGTTACATGATCGTTTAGTTTTTTTTTGGAGAATTTACTGTTAGTCCGTTTTTAGTGATAAATTGTATTACAAAGAAATAACTAGTAATTTTTATGTTGTCTCGTTTAAATGTCTATCTATACGCCCGTAATTTGTTCTAGGAATTATCGCCAAAACGATTACAAGCTTTACAAGAAGCTAAGGATCTTACCGATGACGGTCACAATGTGAAATATATGGAAAAGCTGCGTTCTATTAATCCACCTTGTGTTCCATTTTTAGGTACGCATATATATATATATATATATATATATATATATATATATATATATATATATATATATATATATATATATATATATATATATATATATATATATATATATATATATATATATATATATACACACACATACATACGTACATACATACATACATACATACATACATACATACATACATACATACATACATACATACATACATACATACATACATACATACATACATACATACATACATGCATACAAGTAATTTATTATTCTACATAATTAATATAGAAGAGTAATGAAAACCTTTTAATATCTCGACTTTATGTAATTTTTTATCGCCTTGTTTATTTTTCTTTTGTTATATTTCCAGGAGTTTATTTGTCAAACATCTTACGTGCTGAAGAAGGCAATCCAGACTATTTGAGCAGTTCACCTGAAGGGCTAATAAATTTTAGTAAAAGGTTAAACACGTTAATACGCAATCTTCATGCAGTATACTCTCTGCCATTATACACGAAATTTGAAAAAGAAAATGAATTTACTCTTGCGTGCTTAATACAAGGAGGAGGAGGGGGATAAAAGGTGGAGTGAGATAAAAGGTGGAGTGGGAATTTGAGTCCATTTCTAATAAAGGAGGAGGAGGGGGTCCTAATAAAAGAAAAAACACGAAAAAAAGCAATTTAATTCTAGTGTGGTTTGCGCATTTTAACAGCTGTGTTATCATATTTTCAATATGATTTAATTTGTTTATATGAGTTTTATAATGGAAAAACGGAAATGAGAAATAAACAAAAACCTAAATTCTGACAAATCGAGATTTACATAATTTTTTAAAGATCTACAATTTTTAAAGCTTGATTATTCTAATAGTTTTTATTCTTATCAGTGATTGATATATGTATTTTCAGATTTTTTTTTAAATTTTGAGGGTTTTTTTTTATGATAACAAGTAAAAATTAATAAACTTAACCTATCTTAATAAACTTAAGATTTGTGGGAAAATTTTCTAAAAATTGATAAATGTCCCCTCCCGTGTATTATTAAGCACCTAAGAGTAATTGGCAAAGTATGACGGGTGATTATTTCTCTTTTCTTACCAAAAATCTGCATACTTTAGTTTAAAACTAGAGTTTAACAGATGCATATTAGATTTTAATAGATGCGGGCAATGCTAAAACATCAAGACATTTTTTCTTAATTTTTTTTATTTATTTTTCTAAATTTTGTGTATCTAATTTCAAAATTGCATACACAAAATGTTATTTTAAGTTGCTTATTAATTATATAACTAATTTAAGAAATCTAAAAATCTTTTATTTTAGACGAATGGTAGCGGATATTACAGGCGAAATACAGAAATATCAAAATATGCCTTACAATCTGCAAGTTGAACCTTCTATAAGAGCATACTTAGAATCACTTGACCCTTTAGCTGGTCGTTCAGATAGTGAACTGAATGATCATCTTTACGAGATGTCACTTATGATTGAGCCGAGAAATGCAAAACAACCGGCTAAGTTTGTAAGAAAGTTTTTGTTTTTTTTCACTGCTTTACACACTCTTATATTTCTATTTTTAAAATATTGAATACTTGTCATTAGATACGAAAAACCGATATTCCGCTTAAATCACCTGGAATAAAACCCGGTCAGCGCAGTCTAATTAATTATCGAAAATCTACATCTGTTTCAGAGTTAGATCAACATTTACCTTCTCGTCATTTGCCTTCTCCAACTCACTCTGTCTCGGCATTTTCATTTGTCGTTAATGGAGATGTGACGGATGGCAAAGCAGAAAAAGAAAAAAAAGAAAATATTTCCTTACCTCCACCTTTGCTCTTGCCTCGTGCTCCTTTAGCCAACGAGATTCCTCCGGAAATTCCGACAAAACCTAATACACTAAAACAAGTTAATCAACCACCGGATATTACAAAACAGCAACCTTTGCCTCGCCAGCCACGTCGATCAATCTCTATACAAGAATGTATTTTGCCACCTGCACTACCTCCAAGAACTAAAACCATAGGTGAAAAAACTATTTCATTTTCTTCCGAATACAAGAACTATGTTTTCCCTCCTCAGACTCCTTGCAGAGGTGAAATTATTGATAATGATATCGCGGTTTCTAATCCAGCTCCGATTATTCCGCCACGTATTAATCAAGAATTTGTTCGTCGCCAATCTGAAGACTTTAATACTTCAACTCAGCTGCCGCAAATTCCTCCAAAAGTTAGCAATAAGAGGTGATAGAAAACAGTTTGTAAATTTAATTTTTTGTTTTTTAATTTTTATTTTTGGCGCCACCTGTTCTTTGTGTTCGGTTTTTATTCAACTAAAAAATAGCGTACTTATGTGTTAGTTCGTTTTGTATGGTTTTTTTTAGTTCATTTGTTAAATAAAGCAAAAGTGGGGGGAGGGCACTCTAAAATATTTTGTACTGTTATATAAATGAAATTGTAATTATTAATATTATTTTGATAAAGTACTTTTTTAATTTCTCAACAAATTTTTTTTGCGTGAATACTGTTAACATTGCATTTTAAAATTCTTAAAAATTTAGTCTGTTATTATATTTCTGTATTTACACAGGGTGGTTACACGATTTTCCATTATGATATTTATATTAAACTTAATGAGTTTGAGCAGTTTTTTGTAACCGCCCTTTCTAACTCGTTTTACAAATTAAAAATTGAAACAATAAGAAATTTATAAAAAATAAATCTTCAATTTTATAATTAGGAAGTTTTTATATTTCTATTCATTTTTTTTCTTTTTAATTTATTCGTTATTTTTATTTGTAAATTTAAATGAAATTTTAAATTTAATAAAATTTTCTCGACGTAATTGAAACAACATAAAGCTTAACTCCAAAAAGGTTTCCGATAAAAAGTTTGATAGGAGTTAAAAATATTTTGGAAAGTAGAAAATCACATAGTTTGCTGAAACCTGTCATAATTTTCCACAAATCCTTAGTGATTTAAAAAAAAATTACGCACCTTATGGACGACTTCTAAATACAGCTAAGTAAAGAAAGTCAGTTAAAAGTTGTATCAAATAGTTTAACAATAGATAAAACATTTTTGTAACGTTTTAATAATAAATAATACTAAAATAATTTTTAAATTTAAATTTGATTTGGTATTTCCTGAATACGCCATCAAACTTCTAAATTCATCCTACATGCCCAACTCCAGTTTATATTGCGCTTTTTTCATTTATCGTGGTTTTTGAACTCAGATATAATTTGCACGCTAGCTGATAATCTAAAAGTTAAAGATTTTACAATTATTATATAAGTTAAACAATTATTTGCACTTGAAAAACAACAAATATTTGAGTTTTTTTAGCATATATAAATCATACTTAGATAGAACTTGAAATAATGATACAGTTTCTGTGCGGGTTAAAGAGAACTTTTTTCCGTTAATAACAGGCACAACGTCCCACTTGGATGAAGAAAATAAAATCTTTAACGCAGTTCCGATGCCAGTTGTCTACAAAAAATAATATTAATAAAAATATGTATAATATTTGTTGTCAAAACTAATTAAAGAATCAAACCTGTAATTTCCCCCAGAGACGACACCGTTCACATCCAACACAATCCATAATTCTTGTAATATTTTTGTAATGAAGACGAAACTCCTCCTAACCAAAAATAATATACACAAAACATGCTTTTTAACGTTAAAACTATTAATAGATAAATACGTAAGAACTATAGTTACATTATAAAATTAGAACCAGGGGCGGGTTTTGTCACTCGCCAAGGAGGGGGCTAAAAAAGTCTTTAAAAAAAAAAAAAAAAAGGTCCGCATATTTTCATTTATAAGTAACTTTCTTTTTTAATTTTTTGTGCTTTAGTGTCAATCAAGTTCGTATACGTATAATTACATATAATAGTCAATTTTATTCGTCAGCATAGTAGTCTAATTCTGTATAATAGTCAATTTACAGAAGAATGTTTCTGAAAAAAAGTCCCAAGAGGGGGGAGGGCTACTACCCCCGTGCCCCGTCCTCTCCCCCCCCCCCCTCCTTAAAACCCGCCACCGATTCGAGCAAACATATCTAAATACATTAGAACATTAGAAATATAGTAGAATAACTATCTATAATGTATATATAGAAATTAGAGATACATTATACAATTAGAACATGGAATTAGTTCATTCTTTTCATCAGCGCACTAAGCGGGAATAAGGTTGATAGTTCCTAATTAAAAAAAAAATTATTTAAAAATTTTTCAAATTTGTTTTTTTTAAGAGGGGGAATTTAAGGGTAAAAAAAACAAGTGTTTTTCATCATTTTTGAGTAGCACATGATGAAAATCAAACTTCTGCAACATTTTCAACTTAATAATATAATTAAATTAATTAGAAACCGAGAAAAGCCAAAAAAAAAAGATTTTGTATAATAGTCTTTTCTTGTTTAATTCAGTTCGAAAAATTAATGAATTGAATCATGTTACTAATAGGTAGCCAGTTTTTTTATTTGATGCAAATTTTATGTAACAAATCAACTTTTTATAAGTAAAAAAATATTCTGGCTACTTCTGCAGTAAGAAACTTTAATTAATTTTTATGTCTGTAAACTGTATAGAGAACCAACTCAGAATATTCTCCTAAAACTTTTGTTATTTATTGTAATAATAACATGCTTTAATGTTTAATAAAGAAAACTTTACAACTCTTTATCAATGGTAAATTAATCCCAAAAAAAAAGGAAAATCTGACTTTCTAAATATTTAACTTTTTTTTTTAAATATGCACAAAAATGATTTTATGATAACCTGTGTAAAAATTATTTCAAAATACTCATTGGTTCTCGGATTAACAACTTATTTCCCTTTTTAGTAGCCAATATGCATTGCGGGTTTTTTCTATATAGAAAATAGCGAATTACGCAGTAAAACTTTTGGAGTGAGAATTTTATTATCTAGTTACAACTGATAAATGACACTAATGAAAATACACTAATTTATTTAAGGATAGGTCAACAAAATGTATATACACCAAAAGATTTAAAAAAGATTTAAGAAAAACTGTTTGCACAACAATGTATTTTTCCAATATTAATAACAATCAATATCATTGATTGCTATGTTTTTGAGACGGCTGAGTGCATTTGTAAAAGAAATTGTCTGTGATGGAATCTTCATAATATTATTTGTCACTCTCTTGCTTTGTTTACTGCTTTTCGACCCGTTTCTGAGTATTTATATTTTTGGATCTTTTTGAACCATTTAAGTCTCAAGTTTATTTAAAAAGGCTTTTTAGGTTAATTGTCACTAACATTATATTAATAAAATAAATTATAAAATAATTGGGTTGAGAAAAAAGTAGAACAGAAATCGTTTAAAAAACTTGTGCGCCTGTTCTTTTTTTAATAGCATTTTCCGGTATGTTTTTCGTACTCATTTGACTAAACTACAGAACTAAACTACAGCCGTTTTTCAAAACGCCTTTAGTTGCTTTTTCGAAAAAAAAATTTTTATTTTAAAAAAAAACTTTGATATTTTAAATTTTTCGGTTTTACAAGAGATTTGTAATTAAAATGTTTATTTATATATAAGCTTTATTATTTTATTTATATTATGATATTGGAACAGAAGATAAAGGGTCGGATTATTTCTTTCCCATTAGAGTCTTGAAATTTAGTTAATTCCTGAGAAAATAACTTTCCAAAGATACCTTTTTGATCCCTCATAGCCTCTTTTATATGAGGAACAATACATTTCCATCCCCATTTAAGTCTCAAGTTTTTCAGAACTGAAATAACTTGATGATCAGTCAGCCTAGCTTCCTGTTGTATTGTAGAGACATTCTCTATAGTCAGAAATCCCTCAACTATTGTTTTGTTGTTTTCTTCCGGCAAAAGTATCAAAGGTTTTCTACCATTAGGGGACGTAATGGAGATGACTGAATTGCCTGATTCTTTCTTTGTTTTTATAGTTTTATAACTGATCTGTTCAGCCAGTTTGGGATCAATTAGGTTGATAATGTTAACTAACTTTTCTAATCTTAGCTTACACTTATCTTTCGAGTGGTTTGATCCCCTGTAGATACTGGGAAAGCAGTGTGAGCAGATCCGTGTGGGAAACAATCTTGAATTATTAGATTTATTCTTCTGTTTGTTGACAAATCATTTCCACTGAAGACCATTCAAGCTTGCAATTTTACAAATTCTGCACTTACATCTTTCCATAGACCTGATAAAAACAGATAAATGTTAAATACATTTAATATTTCTAAAAAAATAAACTACTAGTAAACTAGTAGTTTATTTAGAAAAACTAAATAATTGTTTATAGAAAATAGAGGAGAGATTAGTGTTGATTAAATTTATAAACACTTGTTAACTTAGACAGACCATAATTACCCAGAGTTTTATAAATACCTTGTAATAGTTTTCAGCTCTGGATCATAGTTCTCTGCTATTGATAGATTGACTCCATTTTTTATCTTGTTCAAGTCCAACCTGCAGTCAATACAAAGCCCAGATGGAAACCTTGGTTCTTGCAGTGAATAGTTTGACACCAAATGAGCTTTCAGTTCAAAATCAAGTTATTAAATAGTAGTAGTAGTAGTAGTAGTAGTAGTAGTAGTAGTAGTAGTAGTAGTAGTAGTAGTAGTAGTAGTAGTAGTAGTAGTGCCAGTTGATTATGTCAATGTCATTAACAATTTTGTATTTTTGGATGAGGTCACCTCGTTTGCGACGTTCAAGTAGAGTAGATAGGCCAAGTTGTAAACATCTGGACTTGTAGTTTAACTTTTTCAGTTTGTCTGGTATTTTTGTGGCTCTGCGCTGTATTAGCTCAATAGTTTGTTCATCGTTCACCAAATGAGGGTTCCAAGCTGGAATTGCAAACTCAAGTAAAGGACAGACATAGGTGGAGTAAAGTTGTTTCCATAAAGAAGCATCACGAGACTGGAAAGTCTGAACTAGTAAGATGCTGATTTCCATTTAAGATATGGGTTCCTCTCTCTTCCATTGATGTTAACTGTTTTGGATGTGCCAACGCATTTGATTTTTTGGTGCAGATGACATATCGAAAGGGCTTGTCAAGTAAATTTTTTGCCAAAAGTTCTGCATTTTCGGAAGCACGCTTTTTGTTTAAATTGTTGAATGTTTCTTGTTCGAGAGGTGTACGGTCTGGACAAATATAGACAGATTTTAATTCATCTATTGAGGCAAGTCGTTAGATAAGAGATCATTGCGGTGCTCATTGGAGTCAAACTCAATGATAATCAATTCATTTAGTTCAGCTGCTATTGTAGTTAAACTGGTGGTATTGTTAAACTTTTTTGAGAAATGCCCAACAACTTTAAAAGCAATAGTTAAGCTTTTTGAGCATACTTTGAACTGAAATTAGCCTCTGATTATTGTCAGAGGATTTTGGAAGACCGGCAACTATAGCTCTTTTAGATTTCGTTTCTACAATTTTCATTGACTGCTGTGATAATTGCTTTATTGGCTTCTGAATTATGCTTGACGGTGCTTGCCCAGTTGAGAGTTGTGTTCAAATTTGTAGGTGCTAACTTTGGTTGTTGAGAGTGATATGTTTTTAGAGTAATGTTTTCGTTTTCAAAAGCAGATATGCGGGTGAGAAGTATGCTGACTGTGGCTATTAGTTTTGACATCGTAGCATCAAGCTTTTGAGAAGCAGCTGAATGATTACCTTAACCTAGGCCTGGCCAGTTGGCTGCTAGAGCTGCAAGTTGGTCGGTTGTATAAGGTGTGCTCATTATCACCAATGATTTACAAATTGCTCAATCTGATATTTTATATTTGATAAAAGGGCTACCACTCTGAATAACAGTGGATTACCTCTTAGTCAAGAACTTTTTGAACTTTTTTTTTTTACTCATTACACAGGGACTTATTAAGACAAATACTGTAAAAAGTTTAGATGTGTTTTTTTCCGTATAATTTCCGTATAAATAATAGCTCATTTTTTATCATTTAAGGCTTAAAATGCTCTGTTATTGAACACAGGCCTTTAACAATAAATTAAAGGAAGCGAATTTCTGAAAACATAATAAAATGGAAATGAAATGGAAAATAAAAATGAAATTTCAAGACTCCAGACAAGAAAAATTGTTTTTATCCTGTTTTTATGGCTTTTTTTATTTTTAGGGGTTTTAAAGGGCCATTTTTCAAAATTTTTCCAACAAACGTTTTTCATTTTTGTAATTTTTATAATTAATACATATATCTAAAAGAATTACATAAAAAGTTTTTTGGGGTGTTTTCATAGAGGTTCAGTTTTATCCAGGCACACAGTGATTATGCATACCAATGAGTGCTTATAAGTGAAAAAGAATTCAAATTTAAATGACTTAAAACAAATGTTAAAAACAAAAAATTCTAAGTTAAAAAATTTCATTAAAGGTATTTTTAATAAACTATATTACTCTCATGTCCCTATTAAATCGGGGGGGGGGGGGGGGAGGTTTATTAATATTTAGAAAATTTTCCCAACCACCCCAAGCTTATCATGACCCCCCGCCCTTTATAATTTTTTATTGTTGTCAGAAAAAACTTTATATATATAACTAAAAAAAAAAACTCAGTAAAGCCTTTAAATTTAGAAAATAATTATTTTTAGCCTTAAAAATTAGAAAATAATTCTTTTAGGCTCTAAAAATTAGAAAATAATTCTTTCAGGCTCTAAAAATCACCTGGTAAAAATTCAGCATATTAAATTCTATTGAAATTATGCTGAAACAGCTGTTCGAAATCCGTATTTGTATTAAGGACTAGAGAGTAAGAGCATTAACAACAATGTTTTTCTTTATATATATATATATATATATATATATATATATATATATATATATATATATATATATATATATATATATATATATATATATATATATATATATATATATATATACATTCATTTTATATATATATATATATATAAATAGAGTAAGAGCATTAACGACAACGTTTTTCTTTATTATATATATACCAGGTATACCGGTATGAAATGAGCGTTTTTTGTGAAAATAAAACACTAATTATTAATGGGAAAGTATAAAACATTTTATTCAAAGTATTGGCCATTGTTTTCTACACATTTTGACCACCTTTCTGGCAATTTGTGGATACCACGCCAATAAAATTGTTCGTTTTTTAAAGCAAACCAACCAGACACCCAATTTTCGACCTCCTCGTAGGAATCAAAGTGTTGCTCAGCCAATGCGTGTCCCATCGATGAAAACAAATGGTAGTCGGAAGGAGCCAAGTCTGGTGAATACGGCGGGTGGGGTAGCAGCTCCCAGCCAAGTGTTTTGATTGTATCCTGAACCGGTTTTGCTTTGTGTGCAGGTGCATTGTCATGGAGCAAAATTACCTTGCCATGTCTTCTGGCCCATTCTGGTCGTTTCTCGATCAATGCATGGTTCAAATTGATCATTTGTTGTCGGTAGCGATCAGTATTGACGGTTTCACCAGGTTTTAGGAGCTCGTGGAACACCACACCTTTCTGGTCCCACCAAACACACAGCATTGTCTTCTTGCCGAATCGATCTGGTTTTGCAGTCGATGTTGATGGTTGTCCCGGATTAACCCATGATTTTTTCCATTTAGGATTCCTCAAATAAATCCATTTTTCATCGCCAGTAACAATCCGATGCAAAACCGATTTTCTTTCGTGTCTTCGAAGCAAAATTTCACAAGTGTTTTTTCGGTTTTCCATCTGTCTTTCATTCAATTCATGTGGCACCCATTTTCCACACTTTTGGATCTTTCCCATAGCTTCTAAACGGTCAGAAATTGTTTGTTGTGCAACATTTAACATTTCTGCCATTTGCTTTTGACTCAAAGTGTCATCTCCATCCAATATCGTTTGCAATTCGGCGTCTTCAAACTTTTTTGGTGGTCTTCCACGTTCTTCATTTCTCACATCAAAATCATTATTTCTGAACCGTTGAAACCATCTTTTGCATGTTGCTTCTGATAGAGCATGATCACCATATGCCTCGACAAGCATTCGATGCAACTCTGCATCACTTTTCTTCAAATGAAAACAAAAAATTAATGCTTTCCGCAAATCATCACTTTCCGGTACAAAATTCAACATTTTTAACACGATGAAAAAATATGTTGTCTGTTTTATGACTTGATGTATACTAAATATGTTTCACAGATGTCATAGCAAACAAACAAAAAAAAATAAAGGCTCGTTCACAACAAATGTTCCCTATCAAGACATTTGTATCTTGACGCTCACTTCATACCGGTATACCTGGTATGTATATATATATATATATATATATATATATATAAATATATATATATATATATATATATATATATATATATATATATATATATATATATATATATATATATATATATATATATATATATTTAGGGAATAATAGAAGAAAAAATAAATTTTTATAAACACTTGCAAACTTTTTTTTAACCTTTAATTTTGCTGCTTGCTCAGGGTCTCCAGTAAACATCACACTTTCATCAAAAGTGCTAGGACAAGCTCTAAAAAAAAAAAGCTAAATAATCAATTTCAGTATAGTTACAGTTTACTTCAGTAAAAAAATGTGATAACGTATTAATTATAATTTACAGCAAGAAAATAAATTATTAAATTAGATGCAGGATAAATTAGCCATATTGATAGCGACTGAACATTAAATAAATTTTTTATTAGATAAGGCCAGTTAATGGTATAGTTTTATATTTTAAAAAAAATCATTTTAAACTCAGATTAATATGACTTTTTATATTAATTTTGCCATTTTAAATAAAAAATTAACACATGTATATAGGGATGCAATTTCATATACATATATAAAAAAATATATATATATATATATATTATATATAATATATAATATATATATATATTATATATAATATATAATATATAATATATATATATATATATATATATATATATATATATATATATATATATTATATATTACATATAATATATAATATATACATATATATATATATAATATATAATATATATATAATATATATTATATATATAATATATATTATATATATATATATATATATATATATATATATATATATATATATATATATATATAATTTCAAAAATTATCATTAATAAATTTTAGTTTAAACCTAAAATCAATCAGATTGACTTGAAACACAATTACTTTCTAACTAAAATCAATTATAATATTAATTAAAATCAAAAACACGAAAAAAAACTTTTGCTAAACATTAATTAGTTAAAATACCTTGTACTATTGATGAAATCTAATATCTGTTCTTTTAACTTGAGATCAGATGTTGAGTTTCCTGTATAAAAAACTGCTTCTTTCCAGTATGGTGTTGCTTTTATTACAGCACGTAGCACAACAGAATATGTAAAAAAAACATTCTTAAGCCAGTGAGGGCCTATATAATAAAATTATCTTGCATGACAAAATAGATTTTTATAAAGCAATTAAATAAATCTTTACAAGTTTGAATGGTTCGAAGAAATGTAAATAACCATTTTATACAAACAAAAAAAAAAAATTTATTTATAGAATTTCGACTTGTTTAACTAACACAAAACATTTTTAAGTAAACTAAGATATTACCATTGCCATTGGTATGTGCTGCATCAAAACGTTTTTTAAACTCTTTTATATTTGGACCCCATACTTCATTTTCAAGGAGACTTTTTTTTTGCAATAAATATTTATAGCTTAAATGAATGCTGATGCTAGCATGTAAACCGGAAACAGTTCTATAAAAAACACGCTTTTCAATGCAAGTCTTTGATAAAAACTTTGCTTTAAATTCTTCATAATTTCGTGGAGAGTTCTCTGGTAAAAAGCAGTTTTCTTTATAAATACTCATCCAAATTCGATTAGCATCTTTGCCCTGATAACCTGTGTAGCGTTCCGGATTAATGGTCAAGTCAATCCAGCTACTGTTGTCAACATCATCTACAAAAAAAGTTACAAAATATTAGAAACATATTTATAAACTTGTCTAATTAAAATAATATAAAAAATTAAAAGACATAAATTATACCCTCTAAATCTACACAGAAGCTAGTATCTGCATCATAATTAGACCATCCTTTGAAATGTTCTTTTTGTTGGTCACTAAGAAGAATATTTTATATTATATTATAAAAAGAAAAACTTTTTCTTTAAAAATATTATGAAATAAAAAAAGTTTAAACAGACTGCTGCATATTCTTGTGACCTGAATACACAGAAGAGGACATTTATTATTTTTCTGAAAATTTTCCCAACATACCCTAAGCGTATTAATACCCAACCTAACCTTCCCACCATATATTAATTTTTACTTGTTATCAACAAAAAATTATATCTCAAAACTAAAAAACAATCAGTGTAAACCGGCTTTAAAAATTAGAAAAAATAAACATTAGTCACTGATAAAAATAAAATCTTGTAATCAAACTTTAAAAATCCTTGACCTATAAAAAAAAATTTTGTAAATCTAGATTTGTCAAAAATTGCTTTTGGTTTATTCCTCACCATAGTATAAAACTTATATAAACATACTAAATCCTATTGAAATTATAAATTTTACATTGAAAGATAAAACAACTGGTAAAAAATGCTCATTTGACTGCAAGCCATACTAGAATTAAATTTTTTTATGCATGTTCTGTAAAAAAATATTAATTTGGATTAGAAAAATGTTAATTTATGAGGTTTTGATTGTAGGCTGACAATAAATTGAAATTAGATTTAAGAAAAATTTCCCACCCTTTTATTAAGACCTCCACCCCCACCCACCCTTAAGAGTAGCAGTAAAGTTAAAAATATTTTTGATTAAGTAAGCACACAGCAAAATAGTTCTGATTAACCTCAGTTTTATTTAAACATAATAAAACTTATAATCTTTTCTTTAATTTGACCAGAACTTTTCATCAAGTAAGTTGTCAACGAATTTGATTTTTATTAGTCAAATTATCAATATATTCATGTAGTACTGTGTATGTAATAATGCTCTTCTTTTAAGTGCTGCGATTTAAGTCCTCCTCAGGTTTTTTTTTTTGTAAATTTTAATTTTTTATTTGTGCACTTATTTGTACGCTTGCACATTTGTACGTTCTCATTACATTCAGGGGTGTACCCTCATGGTCATCATGGTAGCGTGAGACAACTCATTTTCTCTAAGGGCGACTGAAGTTTAAAAAAAAAAAAAAAATGCCTGTCAGTAGCCCAGCAGGAAAACCAGTCGGTATGTTACTTGCAAAAGTGTGTTTATTAATAAAACCATATTTCAATCTATGAAGATTTTTTTCTTGCGATTATTTAAAAAAAACTTTAAAAAGCATTCAAAGTAGTTTAACAATAAATACACTACGTAGTCTAACAATGAGTAATACTACTTGCCTAATATTATAGCATAACAATATTATGCCATAATATTACGCAAACTAAAAGCGGTTCCTAAATATCCATGCCATAACATCGTTTTATGCACCTCCTCATATATTATTCATATTCATCAGTAATTATATGTTTAATCATCACAAAATTTACTAATACATAATTACAGTGTTTTTGTTTCAATAATTTACTTTTACACGTGTTCACTTAAATTTTAAATATGAAAAAAAAGAAAATTCTTTCAGTGCATAAATCATTATCAAAAAGTAAATATTTACTCATGAAAAGATAGAAAATTATACATTTGATGAATCATTAATGAAAAGATTTGATGAATGATTTTTGAAAACAATAATGAAAGATTAATGCTCAGAGGTGTGCAGTATGTAACAAAAACTCGAAAAGATTCAAGATATAAATGTGATGCAGGACTTTGTGCAGCTCCATGCTTTTCCAATTATCATACAAAAAGTAAATATTAATAAATACTTGAATAATAACAATTTGTAGTGTTTAGTAATGTTAAAAATAGTAAAAAACTTTTTTTAATCTATTTACAAAAAAACACAATATTTTTAAAAACACAGAACATTTAGAGACTTTAAAAAAAAAAAAAGATGGACTAATAGTGATCATAATTTTAAAAAACATGGGACTGTTTAAGGGGACTGGGACTGTTAAAGGGTTAATAACACTGAATCTCTTTTGTTTTTATTAGTAAAATAAATTTTTATTTTAACTTTATTAACAAACAAAATAATAAACATTATTAAAATTATTATTAGAACGCAATTAATGATGCACGTGGAAATTATTATTTTTTTTTTTTTTAAAAAAAGTCTTAGTATAATTAAAAATGTTTCAAACATTAAAAACATAATGTTTTAAACATTCAACTAAATTAAATTTAATTAAAAATTAAGAGAGAATAATAGAATATTATTTTATATATTTAAAACATTTCTTTACAGTTTTGGCTTTCAAATTTTTTGCTTCAAGTAATGAAACCTTTGTTAAGAATGACAAAAGGAAATGAAATGATACAGAAAAACGATACAAAAGTGAAAACACATCTTTAATTTGTTTAATAAATTAATTTACTTTTAAATAAACCATTTCTTATTAGACGTATTTTAGGATTTTCACCCAAGAAAAAATACAAAAAAAACCTTTCTACACCTGACTACTAATTATCATAGCGGACAACTCAAATAAGAAATAAAAACTGTTTTAGTCGCAGGCGACCGGGAAAAAAACGGAGGGTACATCACTGACATTATTGCTTACATTATTTGTACGAGCGTACAAATAATGTTTACATAAAAAAAATCTTTAAATTACCTAATTTTTCCCCTTAATGATATAGTGTTGTAGTGTAAGAAAATTCTAATTTTGAGGCTGATAGGGTTGTGGGTTTAATTTCGTCTTGGGGTACTCTTTTTTTTTAAGTTTAATGTTTTTTCATTGGTTATGATAAAAAAAATATGTTGGCATTATATTGCAGTTTGCTATATATATATATATATCAAAATGTGGACTTCTTATATTGGTGCAATATAATTAACAACATTTAGCTAACATTGAGGTAAATATTGTACCAATATTGCACGAATGTTGCTTGCTATTAGGAAACTTAATCACAACTCTTCCTCTTATTTCATGTAAGATGAACACTGTTTAATAATAATATTGCAGCAGAAAAATAATTTTCATTGTTAAATACCATAACTTAATGTAAAGACTAAAAGCTAGAAAATAAAATATAGCAATATTTGCTAAAAAATAATCTTTTTTGTACTAAAAAGCAAAAAATACAACATCTAGCCAGCCAAATTTAAAATTTGCAAATGTGCAAAAGAAACAGAGTACATAGTAGTTATTTAAAAAATATATATATTTACCTTGCTACTTTATAGAAATTTGAATGAGAAAAACTCAAAAACACACCTGTTAATTTTTACTTGCCACATTTCATACAATTTTTTTTATAGATTGTGTTACTAAATAACCAATAAATTAATTTTTTTTTTGTTAAAAAAGTCATATGCATAGGTTGAAATATTTTGTGTTACAGCTATGTTAAATAAAGAAAATAAATTATGACATTGATATTTTATCAAAAAAATCTTTGGCAGCTATTTTTTTATAAAAATAAAAATACAAAAAATAACTTAACAAAAAATTCATATAGCAACAGTCACATAGTGAACTTTACTTAAAACAAAATACTAAAAAAAAATTATTTTTATTTTGTGTTAAAAAGCAGGTCAGTAAACAGTTTTCCAAGTACAATAACTGTTATGGATGCGCAAAATTTGTACTTTGAACCAACAAACGATTCAATTAAAAACAAACAATTCAATTAACTTAAACCTTTTTTTTCAAGTTCAACAGGTGTTAAATTCTTCTCGCTTGCTCTTTTTTGGTTAAGCATTTCTTAAAACTCTGCATTTATAATATGAAGTTTTTAGAAATCTTTTACAATTTATTTTATTTTATTGTTTTTAAAGAATTGGAAAAATTGTATTATCCTTTCTCCATTGGTAATTTATGTTTATTAAGTAAAAATAAATTAACAATGGAGTGCTTGGGATAAAATCAATTGATGGTAGAGTACTAGGATTTAGATCAATTAATGATGAAACAGCAAAGCCAGCTTCTATAAAACAATTAAAGAGTTTATGGACCTGAAAACTGGCTTTTGTTTAATTTGTTAAAAATAACATAGCCATGAGAATGGCTAAAACACAGTGCATCAAACTGAAACTTATTTCCAGATTTAATGGTATTTGCTTATCATTGTTTAAAATTTTTAAAAACAAGTAAAAATCTTGAATACAGACTTCTTTTTTTGAAAAATTATAAAAATGTTTTATATTTAAAGTACATAGCTAAAAAAAAATTAACAAGTTTTCAAATGGGTAGGACCAACCATTCCCATAATCTTTACCAGAAAAAAAATCCAATAACAATTAACAATCTAAAATGAGATTAAGCTACAAAAATAACTATTATGATATATCTTAAATATTTGTATGTGACCCTGCCCAGACCATATATGCACAAATTTTTTGTATTTTTAGACTTTAGGGACTAAATTTTTATCTGCACTGTTAGGAGATGTTTTTTGATTTAAAATGTTTACTTGTACATTTTTTGTTGCCATTTTTCAAAAAAATGAAATTTTTATTCCCTAATGTATACATTTTTCACTATTTTTTTGCTATAAATTTTTTTGATATAATTACTCCATTTAACCACAGATTTTACACAGGCTGATAATAAATCAGGGGCCGCTACAGCTGAAAAGGCTACTTATTTAAATAAATTGATACAATTGTTTTTCAACCGTTTAACCCCATGACACCTTGACAAACAGGAAAGTATATATATAAACAATTTGAGCATAGCACCACTAGGAATGTATTTTGGTGTCAAAGTTTGTGTATATCATATCAAAAAAATTTGACTGAGATATGATTTTGATGATTAGAAAATTTGTTACAAAAATACCTTTCTGAGTATATTAAATAAGTTTAAAGAATATTCACATTATAAATCTAAAATTAATAGGATACTCTATTGCCCCCAACTTTTTTTTTTCTCAACAAAATATACATAAGCAATCACTTCAAACAATAGAAGAACTGCTAAAAAATACCTTATAGTTTTATCGATATCACCAAGGGTTTTTTCTTTTCCAACGGAGCACTAAGGAAAATAAAACATATATTTCTAAAATAATTAATAAGAAAAAAAGCTTGATTTAAATGAAATTTAAAAGATATTTATATATAACGAATAAATTTTTTTTTCTTTATACCTAAAGGATAAAGAATCCACTACAGTTATTAAGCTACTCATATTGTTGTTACAACCCTCCCTCAACCCTTCAAAACATAACTTTAACAATGTACAGAGAAACATGATTATAACAGCACCAGGGACATGGTAAGGATTAGAATCGTTATATATAAGAATTATTTTATATTTATTTATATATTGTATATTTTATTTATATATTGTACTTAAGATCGAGATTTCTTAAAAAAACATATTAATTTTTGACTATTATTTGGATTGGGACCAAGTTATAACTCTTTGACAAAAAAATTTCTTTTTAAAAACCAATGTTTAGATAATAGCTGAAAAAGTAATTTAAAAGATGTACCCAAAAATAAATCAATTTAAATGATGTACGCATTAATCAATTTAAAAGATGTACGCAAGAATCAATCAATCTAAAAAATATACACAAGAGTTAACCACTCTTAATTAGTTTTTATTAGTTATCTCTTATGTAGTCAAGTACAATATTGGGCGATCAATCATTTTTACCATTTAAACACTTTTTAATAAAATGTAATTACACATGTATAATATAATTATGCTTTCGCAAATTGTTCAGTGCACTGTGAAAACTAAAAGGTTTTTACTATTGTAAAAATTTACAAATAAAAATGAGGCAATGGCACAAGATAATCACACTGTGAAACCCTAACACTGGCAAATACAAACATGCTAAGTTTTTTTTTTACTATAGCTTTTTTCTTTTTTCTTTTACATCTTCGCTTCCAACATGGCTGCAAGCAACCACTATGAGTCGGAAGTTACTGGAAGAGAAAAGATGAAGTTTGTAGAGCAAAATAACGATTGACAGACAACTTAAAAGATTGCAAATTTTGTTGAACATCAGTTTTTTGGAATTCGCTTCCTTCATCACGCCTTCCTGATTCATAAATCAGGAAGGCGTGATGAAGGAAACAAATTCCAAAAAACTGATGTTCGACAAAAAAAACTCGATAAATAAGAGTCTTTGGAGCACTTAGGAACAATAACAAAAAAAGATGAGACTTAATTGAATAACAAGTAACATAAGAATGAATTTTAGTAGATGGCACAAGAGATGCTAGCTCTTTAGAGCAGTGCCCATTAAAGTATTTGTAGAAAAGAGAAAGAGAAGCAACATTACAACGATGTTATAAAGGTTGGAGGTTGGCTGCAAGAGCAGGCCCAACTATATTAACATTGCGTTTTTGCACCTTGTCTAAAAGAGAAAGGGTATCATTAGAAGATCCGCCCCAGATATGGCAACAGTATTCCATACAAGGACAGATTTGAGATTTATAGAGATAGAGAACAGAATCCCAAGTAAGAAAGTGTCGAGCTCGATAAAAAGATGCAACCTTATCAGATGCTAATTTTGCAATGGCTTTGATATACGACTTCCAAGAAAGATCGGAAGTAAGAGTTAATCCTAGAAAATGAAGAGTAGATGACTCATCGAGTACATTACTCTTTATGAATATAGGACGATCTAAATTATTGCAATAAAGATTGGCTGAAAAAATTGAGTTTTTTCTGAATTAAAGTTCACCAGCCACTGTGAGCCCCATGCTGTACCAGAAGTGAGATCTTTTTCAAGCTCAGATGCCCCCTCCAGGCAATCAGAAAGTGTTGGCTTCTTATCATGACAAGAACAAATGGTAGTGTCATCACCAAACAATGTCACTTTAGATATGAAAATATCTGGAAGATCATTAATGTAAAATAAAAAGAGTTTAGGGCCAAGGATATGAAGGATATGAAGTTACAGGATATGAAGAAGAGTGCTGTTTCTTGTTTCTTTCTATGAACAGTTTATTAAAGAAACTTATTATTTGAAGATTATGTACTTGTAACAACAATTTAAAACAAAAATCAGTTCTAAAACTAATGAGTGCTGAAATTCAGTGTCTACATGAAAAAAAGAATCACTTATTAATAGATCTTTAACAGCAAAAAACTTTACAATTTGTTCAAAAGCATCTTAAGATAAATTTTAAAATGACAGACCCTTTAGCAATACATCACATGTCATTTAAATTGACAAGATAGTATTAGTAAACTAATTACCACAGCTTGTTTATATGTTGTATGAACTTTTATATTTTTCAGTAGTTGTGTTTAATCTACAAGATTAAGTGTTTAATTTATAAGATAAGAGAAACTGAAGAAAAAAGAAAAGAAGGTTTTCAGTTCAAAAATATTTAACATAAAAACCAACTGACTGATCAGAATTACCAGATTCAGTCAGCCAAGTAAAAAACAAATGCCACCTAGAAGTTACTTTTATCAATTTTTATATTATAAATCTAATATAAACTATAATCTTAAATTATTCATTATATTTATAGCTTTTTTATTTTTATAGTTTTTACTAGTTATAGAACCTTTAACTGCACAACAATGAAGAATGCACATTCTTTTTAACTATATTATGGTGATTATTTCAATGCAAAAGTTGCATAAAACAATTTCTAAAATTAACATTTAATAACAAAATCTTTAAAAAAAAAATCAAAATACTTACTAGCTCTTCACTATTCGATGCAACATTTGAAAAATCCTTAAAACATGTATCCTAATAAAAAAATTATAAAAAAACCAATTAAGTATAATATATAATAATAAAAACAACAAGCAACAACAAAAACAACAACAATAATAAAAACAATGATAAAGACAAAGAGATTTTAAAAAAAAAAACCTTGCTATTCTGACTATCTTTTCCATATTTATTTTCTTTAGAACAAATCTAAAACAAAAAAATTTAATAAAAATTAAAAAAAATAACATACTAAATACTTGTGAAACTAGTTTAAATAAAAATATCATCATTATTAGATTTAAAAAATCAAACACTTACATTATGAACATCTTTTAATCCTGGAGGTAACTCCTCCTACATATAAAAGGTAAAACTTTTGAACTCAACATATCAAAGGTAAAACTTTATGAACTTTATAACTCAAAATATTATGAAATCCCATTGTCACAATCATATCATATGAAATAGCCCAGACCATTTTTTCATGTTTTTAAAATCAAAAAGCTATACTCTTATTGGAACCAAAATTTAAAATATTTTTGTTTTAGTTATGATTTTGACATGATTGTGACATAAAATAAATTGTGTCTCAACCCACTCCTAAATATAAATATAACAATTTTAATATGATAAACAATATAAATTTTGGTTTGACAAACATTAATTGTTGTATTTATACTTATGACAATAAAAAATTAATTTTCATAAAATATGCCAACTTAATATTAATTTATTTATAAAGTATTTTTTAATATCTATTAACAACTTAAGAAAATATATTACATCAGAACAAGTATCTACTTTGCAATTTTTGATTGCACATTTTCCCCAATCCTGCCAAAATGGACAACCACGATGCAGATTTAACTATTAAAAAGAATACAATATTAAATTTCACCAGAAACTATTTTTGTATCACAACATGGGTTAGATAGCAACTTTGTGTAACTATAACTCCTTTAGAAGAGAGCTGTAATTCCACAAATAAAAATTAAAACTTTGATGTATCATAAAAATTAATTACACAAGCAGTTAAAATAACAAGAAAATTATACTTTTATATATCTAAAGTAGTTGTGGCTAATGATATCAACAAGCTTTGAATAAATATGGTTACTGTTAATTGCTTCTACATCTTCTATAGTGCAGCAACAATCTTCTAACTTTCCAGTAAGCTTAAAAAAATTGTTTTGTTATTATATTACTGTTGTTATTATTACTATTATTATTTTTATTATTATTAATATTATTATATTATCGATTTATCAATATTCTTAAATAATGTCTAAACTTCAAAAATAACTTCTTACATTTTGGACAAAACTCGATTCTGTTATAAAAAATGTACAAAAAAGATAAATAAACTGCAACAGCATATTGTGCTTTCACTTTTTTATATATAAAAAACTTTTTTTTTTTTTACTTTTAATTGTTTACTTTATTATTTACACAAAATTCCACAAAATTTAATCAGCTGAACATTTAAAACATTACTGTCATTTTTTTAAAAGGATGTTGTGTAAATTTTTACTAATAATAGCTATAATAGATTTCTTTTCACACCTTATAACAAATTTTTTAAATTACACTGATATTAAAAAATTCTTCACCTCTATCAAAATGTAGGGAAAAGTTAATTCTTTAATTATATATAAGTGTAAAAATTTGTAATTAAACTTTAATGAAAACTCCTGATCATTAATAAATTAACTAGGTTTGCAAATTTAAAATTACTCATTAAATTATACATAAATTAGTACTTAACAACTGTACTTGACAACAGACACATTCCATATTAAAAAACAAGCAAATGATTCTACTAATTTGAAAAGTTACCTGACATAGACAACTATCTGCATCCTTGTACTTAGAATGATACCAGCTGTATTCAGTGGTTTCAATACCTGATTTAGATTTTTTTGCACCATGACAAGTAGTGAACAATATTATTTGAATAATAAACAACATGTAGATTATAATTTTCATTTTTATTACATTATATTTAAAAACTAAAAAATACATTTATGATATTATTAATTTTTAACATAAAAACTTTAAAATTTAACATTTAAGTATAAACAATAATTTTAAAATTTATTAACTGATAAAGTTTTAGTAATAAATAATTTATTAACATTATAGGAAATTTTCATAAAAAATTTTTTTAGAAAAGCTATCCAGTAATTTATTTATATAGTATCAATTAAAAAACACATCAATAATATATATATATATATATATATATATATATATATATATATATATATATATATATATATATATATATATATATATATATATATATATATATATATATATATATATATATATATATATATATATATATATATATCCATTTCACTCATATTTATCTTTTTTAGATTTATGATTTGATAACCCATACTAGTACAAGTTAATAAACTTTTAAAATTAATGTTTTTTAATTTTAAGTTTCTTTAAGCTTTAATTTGAGATGTTTTTGTCGTTTGTTTTTTGTTTTTTGTTTTTTACTTTTTCTATAAATAAGCATTTAAATAAAAAAAACAATTAAACTTTTAAGGTTTAAAATGTTCATTTATTTCATCGGATCATCTTTATATTTGATAAAAATTAGACATTAATTTCTTTATTTTTTAAGTCAATTTTATTTTTACCTTTAGTTATAACATCATACACATCAGCTCTAGCAACAAAAAATAATTTTCACCATGGTTGTAATAGATTTTTTATCTTTAGCTTTTTTCAACTTCATCTTTGTTTTAAAAAATAAATCGCTTTTAATAATAAATGAAAATTTTAATTTAATATTTTTTCAGTTATTCCAAAAATGATTTATTTTCTTCTGCTTTCAATCTTTTAAAATATTAACGAATTATGCTGAATCCGAATTTATATCAGCACGACTTTATCTAACAAGTTTATGCAGACAAATTTCCTTCATATCGTTTTTTTAAACATAATTAGAAAGAGATCAATCAATTACTAGAAATACCATAATCCACATGAATTTTGACTAAAATAAACCTCTTAAAAAGTTTTAAAAATATTTTGCGCTGCTATCGTAACTAGGCCCAGACTTAAATGACATAAACAATTTGGTATTGACATTAACAACTAGTTATTTTAATAAAAACAGATCTCCGTTAGGAAATTAGATGATTTTCAAAAGAATGCAAAATTTTTAGATGTTGATCGAGATGCCTTGTCCGATTTTCGGAAAAAAGCTGGCTGAAGTACAGTCATGCTAAATAGCACGCTTCTGCGCATTTTTATAAGTTGATCTTGAAATGAACGTTGATTTGAAAATTAACGGTTTAATTTAAGTATATGTACTAAGTGACCCTTAGCATCATCATTATAATATAGTGCTGGATTAAGGAGGAGCTTAGAGGGGCTGTAGCCCCGGGCCCTGCAATTATAGGGGCTCCGTAATAGTTTTGAGGACCTTTTTTTTTAATCATTTTTTACGCTGTGGCACACAAAAAAGGCCTTCAAAAATAAAATAGCCCCGGGCCCCGAAAAGTCTTAATCCGTCACTGTTATAATATGACATAATATTACATGACATATATATGACACATTATAATATGACATATATTAATAGCATTATCACTATAATTTGACCAGAAGCGAAAAAGTCAGTTTTTTCATGGAAAAGATCGAAGTTAGTGTGTTAACCTCGGTCGTTTTGGAGACATATTTTGCCCACTGGTATGAAATTCTTGAAAACTTTTTGCTTTTACCATGAAGAAATATGGTAGAGCAAAATTGATAAAAATGATCTATTTATTCAATCATTTATCACACGCAACGTGGTTAATCATCTTTTTAACTTGATTAGTCAACTTTTGCCAGCACACATTCATTTAAAAAATAGTTAGTATGCGATAGTATCTTAAACAGTTTTATGGATATACTTTTCCATGGTGATGTTTGATTGTGATTGAGTCATTGCAGACTGGAAAATGATAATTCCGCTGTTGCTATCATAAAAGTTTTTTTTTAAGCTGTTTAGAAAATGGGGGTGGGGGGGGGGCAATGCAGTGTCTGCTCCCCCCCCCTCCCAGTGTTTTAGTTGGGGGCTATCTCCCCTTCGTCCCCTTCCCCCTATTCCTACGCCAGTGTATAGACGCACACTGTATTAATACAGTGTACGTATATTATTTGTTTAAAAAAATGCAAAAAACCACTTTAAGATTATTTCAATAACACGAATGAAAAGTATCATGAATTATTTACATCGCCCCTATGAGTCATTAATTACAATTTCAAGCAGTTTCAAACAATTTATTCTGTGCCATTATTATCTTATTCATGTAAATCTAAATGCACATATTGCCTTAATATTAAAACAATAAATTAAATGGAATTACAGTTGCAAGCATCAAAAAAACCTTGATGGACAAGTTCTTTATTATTTCTTCGTGTTTTTGTTCATTGGATATTTTTCTTTACAGTCATAGTTAAAAAGAACATTAAAACAACTCGCTAAGACCTAAAAACAGATTATTTTAACTAATAAATCTAAAATATATAGCCACAAATTTCTGCTCATTGTTACATTAAAAAGCAGTCATGTATGTTTTGCTTCTTTCGTGTTTCCTTATTAAAATAATATAAAGTTTTTCTGCAATACTTTATTATATGAATTGTCTTTTCTTCAATAATTATGAGGAAATTTGTAAACTCAATTGTTTTACCTAAAATATCTACCGTTATTGAGAGGTAAAAATCATTATCAAATTGAATAAATGTAGTTTTTTCAGAGGTTTTTAATAGAATCTATTTTATTTCCGAGTATAGAGAACCAATTTGTAACATCATTAGCACTTTTCCTTTGTAATAAATGTAATTTATTTCTATTGTTCAGTTTAATTTTGCTTACATGCTTAATCTCACTCTTTTTAGGGAACTGATAACCTGCAAGGATGTTTGTTTTAAAAATTTGGTTTATAATCTTTTAGTTTTATAAAGGCTTGGGCAGAGGTGCATGATTCAATTATATTTACAAAGTTCATTTTTAGCAATACTTTAAGTTTCTAAATAAGTTTCAGTTTTAAGCTTCTAAAAAGAATTATTAATATTATCGCGTAAGATTTTCTTGTATTTTTGTTATAAGTTGGTAAGTCTATCAAAATATTAGGGTTTGATTTAATTTTTTTTTATTAATATCTAACTTTAATTATTTTATTTTTTTTGATTTGTTATTGATATGTTGAAACTTTATTGTTTTAATTTTAAAATGTAAAAATTAGTGAATAAGCACTTCCTGCCCTTAAATAAGTTATCTAAAATTTTTAATCAAATTAAAATTAAAGTTACCCTATCGGCACATCTAGTTTCTTTTTCGGAAATAAAACCTACACGTGTATATTACGGGCAGTTTTACTAGAGTTTAACACGTGTTTTTTTAAGGTTTTAAAGTCAAATTTAAATGTCGCATATTTTTATCAATGGTTTTACATTCCTTACGGAAAGTTAATAAAATATAATACTACGTTTCCATAACGGTGAAACCATTAATACTTTAACTGGTATTTATGGTAAATAATAATAGTTAATTTCACGGAATAAAAACCATTTAGGATACGAGTTATTCTTTTTGTTTTAGAAGGCAACAGAAACCAAGCGTAACTATTTTCTGAGTTGTGCCATCCTAGGTAGTTACCGTTGCACAAAAAAAATGGAAATATTTAAAAAAAATGTCACAAGAATGTAAGTGTATTGTTTCTTCTAAAAATGAAGATGATAATTGTTGAATACAAAAAGCTTTTGTCAATTATAAGCAATCATTTAAAGATAATCCTGAGGCCAAGAGGTCTAAATTAATCCTGCAGCCAATTAAATTTATTTTAGCGTAGAGAATTAAAATACTGGCTTAAAAACGGATGAATAGAAAAAGGATTTTTTCCAATCATTTAAAAGCAATGATGTATTATATAAATAAAGTTATATAATATATCATTGTTTAAAAGTAATCAAGCTGCTAAGCGGTTTATTTTAGCGTTCTCGTTCGTAGAGAATTTAAATATTGGCTTAAGAACTGGTGAATAGAAAAAAACGTTTTGCCCATGATTTAGAGGAAACCCTGCAGCTAAACGGTCTAAATTAAATTTATTTTAGCGCTCTCATTCGTTAAGAATTTAAAAGCAACTTAAAATATTTATTATTATTATAATACTTTTTTATTGATAATAATAATAATTATTATAAATATACAAATTATTATTACTATTAGTTGTTATTGTTATTAAAATTCTATTTACACGCTCCACCATTTTTTTTTAATAACAAAATGAAAATAATTTTAACCGTTTAACTGCAGGATTACATCTTTAAGAATAAAAAGTATTCGAAAGATACCATGTTGTCAAAACACATATGGGAATAAAAAGATAAAAAAATTGACGGCTTTATATTTTTTTGTAAGTATAATATAAAAAATGTATATTACACCTACAAATAAAATAAGAAATAATTACATATGCGAACCAAGAATGTTTATTAAATTAAAAAAAATCGGAATTGAATTCCGATTTTTTCCTGAAAATTTATAAGAATTTTGGAAATTTTTAATAAAAGATTTTTTGAAAAGGTTATTTTATAATTAATTGGTATAATTTTATGTCTCAAGTAGGCAGTTGCTATAAACAACTTTATGGTAAAATATTGTGAAGGAGATTAAAAAAACTTTAGAAAGCCCTCTTTGAAAAACACTTTTTTTGGTTTTTTATTGAGTTTTTTTTTTTATGATAAACTGTTTCCAAAATTTTCTAAAACTGTTTTATCCTGTTATTTGTTATAAAAATTTAAGCATATTGACCTTCAATGCCGTAGCAAGTTTTGTTTAAGGCAAAACATTATTTGCACCCCGATCACTAAATAACCTTGCCAGAATCTTGCTAGGGCACTTTCTACTTTACAAATCAATAAATTCAAAAACTATTCTATACTTTAAAATATTTTAAATATATTTTTCGATCAATACTCAAGGGTTATCAAGACTACACGGGTT